TCTGGAAACAAAGAGGTTAAATGATAATTTGACGCAATAAGAGAAATAAAATTATAAAGCATATTGTTTTTGAAGAATATTTAATTTGTTGTCCAAAACTACTCATAGAATAAAAATAATTCTTCGAAAATTAAAGCCGAGGTACCTGCAGGTGTTTTATTGTGCATGTGAAGTAAGGTGTTTAGTGACATCCGTAGTTATGTCATGTTCTTCAGTCTAGATAGGTTCACAAACACTGATGGGCGGAAGGGAAGCCTAGTGGGTGAGCGTGCGTCGTCACGCCGAAGACCCGGGTTCGATTCCCGGCATGGTACAATGTGTGAAGCCCATTTCTGGTGTCCCCCGCCGTGATATTGCTGGACTATTGTTAAAAGCAGCGGCGTAAATCCATACTCACTCTATCACTCACTCACTCACAAACACTGAAAGTGATTTTTTAATCCATGAAGGATGAGCGTGTGATTTCGAAAATGTATTCAAATTTACACTGTTATCCTAAGGTATATCATAATATACGTCATTTTATTATGTATAATGCTTACTTACACTTATTCACACACATGATAGATAACAGCATATTGTGTACTCAGTGTAAGATCTGGCAGGAAATAGCGGCAAGCAATTACCACTTGCAGCGACCCACTACGCGCAATGTACTTCAATCAATATGACAATATGTTATCGTAAAATAGCTGCACTGGATAGCATAACTGCTATAACGTATTTATTTGAGATATATTATATATGTAAAGATTCCTTGACTGAAAAAGAGCATAGACACTAACCTCAAGTTGACCTACATGTGTATAGGTCTTTAGTTTGGAAGACCACATGTGTATATATTACTTTGCAAAATAATCCGGAAATTTCAAACATATATATACCAGTGAGTGGGTTTGGTTTTACGCCACGTTCAGCAATATTCCAGTAATGTCACGGCGGGGGACACCAGAAATGTGTCTTAACACATTGTACTCCTGTGGGGAATCGAACTGGGTCTTCGGTATGAAGTGTGAACGCTTTAACCACTGGTCTACCCCTCCGCCCGGTTTCTGTATGATGTGTCAGAATTCTATTGTGAGATATGAGCTGGAATTGACCTGTTGGTGTTGTTTCAAGAATCGGTAATGGCGACAATTCTCGTGCGTTGTTTTAATTTTACGCCGAATGTTGTTTTAAGAATGAGAATGAGCCGAAGCCACTGGGACTCATATTTATATTTAGCTGCCAATCACGAACGTGAAGTGATTCAAGGACTGTCGTTGCCGGCTGAATTGATCTCTTTTAACTAGAACACTTAGATTTGACGAACTTTTAAAAAGATAATTTACTTCTTAATAACTTGCAAACATTGTAAGGAGCACAAGGGTGTGACTTTGCCACGCTGTCACACATTGCCAACTGAGGTCTAACAGCTATCCTGAGTCATTTACCTGGTGTACGCAACTCAGTAAGACGACATAGTCAGTAATCGTCTGAAAAAACAACGTTCGACACTTCCAAAGTTGTACAATGTTCAGTTCATATGCAAAAAAAAGAAATGACGCTTTTTGCTTATTATGCAAAAACCCTTGTTATACATTGTTATGCACTAGACAAAGAATATACACAAAACAAACACCTCTGACATGTATATTCCGATATGTCTATTTGAATAGCAATCTCATTTGGCATTTCTCTTGAGTGGGGGAATTATTTATTCAAGGTTTGATGTGATGAATGTATTACAAGTGATCTAGGTTTGATGTGATGAATGTATACCATATGGTCTAGGTTTGATGTAGTGAATGAGTTACATGAGATCTAGGTTTGATGTGGTGAATGTATTTCATGTGATCTAGGTTTGATGTGGTGAATGTATTTCATGTGATCTAGGTTTGATGTGATGAATGTATACCATATGGCCTCGGTTTGATGTGGTGAATGTATTACATGTGATCTAGGTTTAATGTGATGAATGTATACCATATGGTCTAGATTTGATGTGGTGAATGTATTACATGTGATCTAGGTTTGATGTGGTGAATGTATTTCATGTGATCTAGGTTTGATGCGGTGAATGTATTTCATGTGATCTAGATTTGATGTGATGAATGTATACCATATGGTCTCAGTTTGATGTTGTGAATATATTACATGTGATCTAGATTTGATGTGGTGAATGTATTACATGTGATCTAGGTTTGATGTGGTGAATGGAATTTCATGTGATCTAGGTTTGATGTGGTGAATGTATTTCATGTGATCTAGGTTTGATGTGATGAATGTATACCATATGGTCTAGGTTTGATGTGGTGAATGTTTTACATGTGATCTAGGTTTGATGTGGTGAATGTTTTACATGTGATCTAGGTTTGATGTGGTGAATGTATTTCATGTGATCTAGGTTTGATGTGATGAATGTATACCATACGGTCTAGTTTTCATGTGGTGAATGTTTTACATGTGATCTAGGTTTGATGTGGTGAATGTATTTCATGTGATCTAGGTTTGATGTGGTGAATGTATTTCATGTGATCTAGGTTTGATGTGGTGAATGTATTTCATGTGATCTAGGTTTGATGTGGTGAATGTTTTCAATATGGTCTAGGTTTGTTGTGGTGAATGTATTACATGTGATCTAGGTTTGATGTGGTGAATGTATTCCATATGGTCTAGGTTTGATGTGTAATGTGATGATATATAAAATGTTATGTAAATTATGTACGTAGACAGTGCACCAAGAGGGACGTGACAATTTAAAACACATGCCGATATGATACATTTACAACCTTGAATCTATTACTCACATTTGCATACGTACACTGATGACGCCGACGAACGGGCTGATATCAGACAAAAGGAATATATCAATAGTATAATTTATATTCTGCATCTATGTTAACTTGTACATTTATTCAACATTTCATCTTCTACGTGTATGTAGGAGTACTTCTCTGGCTGTGACGATGTCGTCACAACAGGAATTAAAGTAAAGTGATTATTGAAGAAAAACTTTAGGGGTTTTTGTGAAAGGACTTCTATCACGTCACGTGGTAAATCATTTGTTTAGCAAAAATTCGAAACAGCCCTTTCATATTTTACCCTTGCAGTTATCAGTAAACATTATGCGACCACCAAATTTAAATGTAAAGACGGGAATGTGGATGGCAAGGTTCGAGTCCCCAATCCGTATAAAGGGAAAATCTGCATCTTTTGATTCGAAATCAAATAATCATGATAATCAGATTTATTTTTTCAGAGAGCTAACACCGTTTTATACAACAATAAGCTTCTTCGTATCGTCAGTGTACACATTGTTATACCAGAGCAGATGTGATACAGCCTTTGTTCAAAGTTCCTAATACTTTTAGTGTAGTATCTGTATCTGTGAGTGAGTTGGGTTTAACGCCGTTGTAAATAGTATTCCAGTTATGTCATGGAATGTCAGCTTAATCTGGGAGGAAATCCCCAAGTGATGTAGGTCTCACACATTTACTACCTTTGTGAAACCCACGGTCACATATGTGGTGCTGACAAACCTTGAACAATCATCGGGACGAAACATGATTCGAAACCACAATCATAGGATTTGGGCGTTTCCAAGGGATGCAACCCTGCACAGCAAGTTGCGGTTCCTTAGACAATTTGACGACCCGTGCTCCCTGGATCTTTGTACAGAAATTCAAAATGATGGCAGCCTCTGTACCAAGCTGTATGACAAGAGTGATGCTTTCGATTTTCAAATCGTGAATTATCCAATCATGTCGTTCAATGTGCTATCGGCCCCATCTTGCGAAGTCTACATTTCTCAATTTCCTACTGATAGGTACTTAAGAGCAAATCGGAGATATGATATAGCTGAGCTATCTTCGATTATGGTGGGTTGTAAACTTCCAATACCCAATACCCAATCACCTGGCTCACCAACGGGTCTGTGAGGTACTGCTTAGGATTCATAGTGTGTTCGTGTGCATGTGTGTTTCTGTCTCTGCGTGTGTGTGCCAGTTTCCTGTATGTCAGTTTTGCGGACGAAATTTACATGTTTGATCATATTTTACAATATGAAATCCATATCATCTACACATATTATACGGATTGTTGAGCTCAACCAGATACCTGTCTGTTCTCACGCCCGTAATTGTTTGCCTAACGAATAGAGTGACAGCTGCACAGGCGAATAAGTGATTTATAACAGATGCCAGGATATTTGTAACTGTCGGGACACGTTTGATTTGACAGATAACGTAGGGTTTCAGTATATCACACAGATGAGAATTGTTTTATCATTGTGCAGGCGCCTGGCAGGAGTGTATAAATGTATAAAATATCATATGCTATATATTCCATTTATCTGATATAATTTTAACACATGTTACACAATCAATAATACCATGGAGTGGTTGTACATGCATATGGGTGAGGAATTTGGAAACACTCATAATATTTATTTCAAGATGCTTGCAGGTAACAAACTTACAAAGCAAACGTATTCTCATTGGACAGTGTATCAAACTAAAGTGAGATTGCATGACAGTGACAGGTGTTCCTCACTTAGTCCCTGTGTAAACGCAGTATCTACAGATAACACACGTTCTTGTACGTTGTCGGTTAGGATGAGATTGTTGGTATATAAACACTCTTCATCTTCGGTCAGCCATTAATTAAGACCCCATTGGTGCCGAGCTAGCAAGCATTTGCAATTAAAGAACTGTGGCTCTATTCACAGCTGCATTAGTATAAACGTTATCCACAGTAGCATTCTAAATATCAATACTTAAAAAAGAAACAGCCAATATATGATTTAATTCAAGAATGCCAAACTACCAGATACAATTCACAAAGTTTTACACAATCTGTGTACAGTAGAGCATAGTTATAAACGTTGAACAGTTTATGAACCCATCATTTCTGCGACAACTAATATTTGCTGGTGCTTTTAACGAACATTCTATTATCGATTGCCTTAATTAATTAATTATATATAATATAATATAATATATATATATATATATATATATATATATATATATATATATATATATGCTGTCGATAGTGCTGCAAAACCGCTGTGTGAGGCATAATATTGTAGACACGACTTCATGTATCTTCAAACTGTTGATTATATTATTCATCTATGATTATTATCTAACGATAATTATACATGTTACCACTATAGCTGAGTACGAAAAAAAATTAACAATATAAGTTTAGATGTAATTAAAGCTGTTCAACATTTGACTCAGCGTATATGTTTAAAACTGTAAAGCCATTACAATGAGACGACTATGACCATTAATCATAACGTTTATATACTGTACAACATTTGATAGGGTTATTGCTATTAAAGTACTACCATTTAGCATTCTGTGTTTCGGTCACTGTTTTAAAACACGCAAGTTTTCTGTGAAATGAGGAGCCATTTACAACACATCATTTTCCTGACCTTTTCCGAATCTATTACTCATAATAGGGCAGTTCGCTATGTGTCGGAGTTGCGTCCCTTAGTATTGCCTGTGACCCACCAGGAAAAAATGGACCTTATGGTGTTACGAAAGAATTCTGCTGTGACGTCATAAAGACGTTTGACGTCAACGTACTGCAGTAAAAATCGCCATGTGTGCAGACTACAGAGAAATATCCGAATTTTACTCTCGTTAGTTCGTAATGTAATAAAACCATTATTTCAAAACCTTTCAGCATTAAAGCATAAAAATCAAACATAATATCTAAATACTGCAATTATTACTTAAACAATGCGATGCCATGTGAGTTGTATTTTCGTGTTCCTAATATAAGATCGTGAAGTTTTAAAAAATAATGAGAAGGCAAAATGTGATATATTTTTTTATACCCATAATGTCCCTTATCTCGTGGTTGGTCACATATTATGTTCGTGGAGATGTGTTGGTCACATATTATGTTCGTGGAGATGCCAGGTTCACTCTGATGATGTTTCTAGGTTTGTCAGCACCAAACGTCTGAGACCTGCACCAATTCGAGCTTTCCTTCCACAACAAGCTGACACGCCGTGACAGAACTGACATTTTCTGTTCAAAGCGGTGTTATACCAAACTCACTCACTCACTATTTATAAAGGTACTTCATATGTACTATTATGTACATGGTATAAAATATCATATTATACGTATCAAATATCTAAAAGTACAGAATCCGGCTGGGGTACAATGCAGGAAGCTGATGTACCGTAAGTTCCCATGGTGCAAAGTGTGGTGGCCTTTAGTTACAAAAGCCTATTGTTATAAAGTCTTGTTATGAATAGTCCAATTTCTGTGGTTGCATACTAGTTTCATATCTATATATGTGATAATCTCATTACTGTCCTTTGTCAACGAGATTTATAGCCTTTAAATAAATGAATTATTAATGTAATAAAACGTCGCGATATAACTAAAATATTGCTGATGTGACTATAATTCTCAACTGAATAATATATATTTGGTCTGAAAAAGTTATGATCACTGTTTGGATTAGCCTACATACGCAAAGACAACATGCGTATTAACAGTAAGTATAAATTATGCTGCAGTCGTATAAGGACGGGCCCTCATTTGTCACAAATGTCAATCAGGGCCAAGCACAAGGCAATACCAAAGCTACCACAAAGAAAGGCAGTCAAATGTACGTCATTTCAGGCATCTTGGAACGAACAGCATGATCTGAATGAAGTGCCTGTGGTGTACCTTCCGTCCTCTTGTCCCTCTGTGTTTCCCTGGGCCCGTCGATCCACATGCTGTAACAGTTCATATCTGACTCCTGCCTCGGCGTGTTATAGTGAAATCTGCCGTTCATTTTACTGTCTGAATGTCCAAAGTCTTCATACAAGAAACCATCGTACTGGTCCCCTATGGCCCTAGGAACGCCATCACTGTCGTTAGAATATGCCTGCCCTTGATCGCAGGGTTTGTCATCTGGATCTAGTTTATGAGTCTTCCATAGACGACCTTTCATGTAGAAGTGGAATCTTTTGAGAAGGCGCCTCTTGTGCATCTGGTAATGTGCTTGGTATCTCTTGTAGCATTGGTCTGTATGTTTACCGAGGCTATGCGTACGTTGACCACTGGCCCGGCCTACAAGGAAATCCTCCTCGTCATCATACACAACCTTCTTTGTTTTCTTGTCGTAGGTAGCCTCACCAATCCCGTGTTCGATCATATCAGCCCCTAGTATCTCTTCACATAAAGGGACCCGAAGACCAATAACCATGTCAATTATTTTCAGAAATATAAATGAGGTCACAAAAGACCATCCGATCAAAACGACTACAGCAAGAGTTTGAATGCCAAGCTGGTGAAAACCTCCGCCCTGTAAACAAAGGAGAAACTTAAATCAATTGACGCAACACATTGCATATTTGAATTACACTAAACGTATAAGCATTTAAATGGTTAATCTGTGTACGTTTAATTTGGCATACATTGCTTTCGACATGCATAATAACATGAACATGTTTCTTTATCAAATTGCCACTTATCCGTTCTGGCACTGTGTAGACTATTCATTTCATTGCCGAGGAAGATTTCGAGCATGAGTTCAAATCAGTGCCACTCTTTTCTGCTTCGCCTCGTGAATGGCAGATGTTGATAACAACTGTCGATAAAGGTAATCATCTGGATTTAGTATCACCTAACATGCCCCTTGGTTCATCTAAATAACATAGGCTGATAATGCAATAAGGGTCAGTTAATATGCCTACATGTGTTTCAGATAAGCTCATGTGAGGGCATTGACATAGTGTCAGATTTCTATTGACAATGAATATAATAAAAGCGATAGAACCATTTCCATTACGACTACTCGTTCAGCACACCTTTCAGTATAAACAAGCAACCGTTTGTTTGGTTATATGTATCTTTCTTAATAAAGTGAAAAACAGATTGCATTCATTTTTTGAAAACTGAAGTCTTTACAATTAACATTTATTTCCATTCTTAAATATAATAGAACCAAACGTCGGATCTGTAAAGGGTATTTTAAAATTTTAATCGGAAGCGTATCACTGTTGGTAAACATAAACTGATAGAAACATACTAAAATCAACATTAGTGTTTAACTCTTACAGCGAGGACACCATCGTGCACGTTGTGAAGTTGAAGTTCGCTTGCAAATGAGTCCTTTCTCGACAAAAACCCTGCCGCGAGCAGGCTCCATACACCGCCCACAGCGTGGACTCCAACACAGCCTGCAAGACAGGTAATGCGCAATTTCTCAGATGGCGGTTGCTTGTCGCCCACTCAGAATTCACCATTTTCATAAAGATATAAGTCGTGCGTGGTGACATTTGTTTTTCTTTTGTTCCTGTTTAGGAAGACACTTCTATGGGTACAAAGGAGTCTAAGATTGTATAACAAAGAGGAATTAAGTTTGACAGAGGAATTACGTTACTTCATGCATATAACTCGAGGTCATATAAACGGAATATCCCAATGACAATTAAAACATGTCATACGTCAATGAACGTATTCGCACTGCCAAGAGACGATTAAATTAATTGAGCAATACAACATGATTCATTTCAATGCCTACAGACACATAATGAGATGGGGATATAAAATGAATTTTAAAAATATAATCCCTGTTACCCGGGGTCATGAGTTTCTTCAGGAAGTGTGATGGAAGCTTTTTCACAGCGATAGAAAACTAACTAAATCATGGCGCATAGCAGGGTGAGATATATGATAGATATTAAGTTCTTAGACTCTTACCAACAGGGTCATCAATCTTGAGCTTCTCGAGGACGATGATACCAAGTATTGTGAGACATGCCCCAACTACTCCGATCAACAACCCTTCCCAAGGATGGGCTATTGCACACGTGGCTGGAATGTACAATTGAGTTCTTGTTTAAAGGATTACAACGTATGTATCCTTTGATAATATCATCATCATGTGCAGGTATGATAACTAATTAATCCCCTTGTTTCACGATTTTTCTTCATTTCGGCATAAAATAATTAATGATTAATTGCCTGATTTTTTGTGATAAATGATCAGTTTGGATCGCATAATTGTTTTAATTGATCGCATTATTTCGTTCATTTGTCGCGTGAACCTTAATGAGTGAGGGTGTATGGTTTTATGCCGCTTTGAGCAATATTCCAGCAATATCACGGCGGTGGACACCAGAAATGGGCTTCACACACTGTACCCATGTCGGGAAACGAACCCGAGAGAACGGTTTAACCACTAAGCTACCCGACCGCCCGTGAAGTTTATGAATTGCACCTATGATACAGTTTAGATTATATGTTTACGTACATGTATTGATTATAAATTAGTCAATGAAGAATAGGTGCATGGAGGTTGCTCTCAGCCAGCGGTACTCCTGCGAGCTTCGATTCTGCCTCCCACTGAAACAATGGTACCCGGTAGGATGAGATTTATTGTGGAAGCAAACCCTCGAGCGGTTTATGGCAGTTTGGGGTGTATGATCTCTAGAGAGTTGAGATCGCAATATTAATAGGATTGCACAGTGATCCGTTAGGGGTAATGATAATCATCCGTGGTGTAATAGTGTCGCAGTGGTTTAAAATGCTGGCAAGTTGCCTCGCTTGACGTGTTCGTGACACTCTTCAAAATTCTTGGTTTAATTAGAAGTATAGAGCAGCTAGTGTGAGGTCCCACGTGGCTGGAATAACCCTAACATCATTATTGAACTACAGAAATTAAGATTGTTGAGAAATAATGTGGAATTGAATGCATAGGCGAAAGGTTTGTGTGAAAGACGAAAGGAGACATACACCGAGAGAGTACATTTTTTGCGTGAATTGTTCCTACCATTCATAAGCAATAGATAGAGAAGGAGAGAAATAAGATACACAATTTAGTCTTTAAGGAGGAATATATACTCTTCAAAAAAAGAAACTTGACAATGACTTTCAAAATGTAATATAATGCGATTGTTTCAAAATAGAACACTGAAACCATAATTGAAACACTGTTTGAAGATCAATCTACATAATGTTCAAAACATTAATCGTGTCACCTGGACAGACACACGTACACGATACAGTTAATGTCACAGGGGTACAGATAATGTCAGTACCGGTTGTGCCAACCACGTGCATCAATCACCGCTTGACACTGACGACAGATAGATGCAATCAAATTGTCAATAACACGCTGTTGGATGTGCTGCCATTCATGCTGAAGTGCACCAAGGAGCGCCGGAAGTGTTTGGGGCGGTGGATTCCTTCTGCGAACGCATCGATCCAACTCGTCCCACAGATGCTCAATCGGGGACAAATCTGGTGACCGGGCTGGCCAAGGTAATGTCTGGATGTTGTTGTGCTGTAAGAAGTCCTGACAAACACGTGCAATATGCGGTGGAGCGTTGTCCTGCTGGAACTGTCCGCCATGAACGTTGACGTGAGGAAGAACGTAAGGCTGTAGGATCAAGTCTCTGTAACGCACACCTGTCAATGCACCTGCCACATGCACGAGAGGCGTCCTACCACCGTGATGAATTCCGGCCCATACACTGACACTCCCCCGGCCAAATGGGACAACCTGCTGCACACAGTTGGGGGCGTAACGTTCACCCCGACGTCTGTAGACACGTGCGCGCCCATCAGCACGTGTGAGTAGGAAACGGGACTCGTCAGTAAACAGTACACTTCTCCACCTTGCACATGCCCATCTAACCCTCTGTTGGCACCAAAGCAGACGGTCCGCCAGATTACGTGGGGTCAATACATGACGTCGAACAGGTCTTCGTGCAAAAAGTCCAGCCTCCCTCAGTCTGTTGCGTACCGTTTGATCTGATATTCTGCGTACCCCAGGGATCTGTGTAATTGTAGACGTGGCTGTGGTAGTGCGGTCTCGGAGGTGTCGCAGCCGGATGTATCGATCTTGTACTTGGGTTGTCAGCCTTGGTCTTCCTGACCTTGGTCTGTTGTCAACTCTGTTGGTGTTGTTGTATCGGGTCAACAGTGCGGAGATTGTCTGTCTCGATACGCCAAAGTGCCTGGCCACTTCTTGCTGAGTTGCTCCAGCTTGTAATCTCCCAATGGCGTTGTTCCGTTGAGCTGCATTCAGTCTTGGCATTCTGTCACCGCCTCTACTGCCGTTATAAGGACTGTATGAACAGCCGTTGATGTGGATTTTTATACCCATTCAGCAGGGGGGCCTGCATGCCTAAATGCAGGATCCTGTGCTGCACGTTTTTTTACAGGCGGTTGCGTTTGGATGAAGCTGTAAAATTGATCCCCAAACGCTACGTTTATGTGCTTTGCATGTGTTTTCGCGAATTATAGACACATCATCTTTCTGTTTGACTTATTTGGTTCTCATTTAATGTAATTATTTTAGATATTTGGCAAAAAGTGGTTTTACATCTATGTCAAGTTTCTTTTTTTGAAGATTATATTTGACCGTTTGCTACAGAATTTAGGATCCCTGACACTATACTTTTCAATATTAAAATTGTGGTTTTAGAGTGAATCAGTTGGTGAACAGTCACATCAATACCGCTATATTTTATAGCAATACATTCTTTGATAAATAATAAAAATGCGATTCGCAAGAATGCTTGCCATGGGATCTTCAAGCAGGAAAAAAAAATCATATCAGTATCTAAACGAGTATTGATAATACTTTGCAGTTTGTTGAATGAAATAATTTGAGTTGCTATTTCACTATTACAAAAGGTGCAAAGGTTATCCTTACGCATGCATATTTTATATAAAAACGATTTTGTTGTAAGGATTCTGTGATGTTATTTATCATTGCAAAACAGGCACCAAGAAAATCAGATAAAGACAGTTTTAGTTTTGTTACCCACTTAAACTGATGGGTATCTAATGACATTCTTCGATTTTTACTAAATTATTTATATATCAACAAACGATCAGATTCGTTAACTATTTTAGTAAGCAAGTTGTAATTCAAACCTTCATTCACTTATTTGGATGTAATTTTGTCAAGACTTGAGCCATTGTTTCAGTTTATAATGTCAAATCCGGAAATAAAGGAGATAACTTTCGTCGCCAGTGTTTGAATTGGTCTTCTGGATGTAGTTTGATCCATTACTATTCCATGTATCAAATTTTAGAAATCACTAAATGGCATACTAAAGACTTACGTATGTCATATTTGTGAACGTGAAATAACAAAATATTCATAGAAGAGAATTATCTCCATGTAAACTAAGATCCTAGTATATAGTTTTTCCTCACACGTGTGATTCAGCGGAGACCTAAAGTCTTTCTAAAATCATTTTCGGAGTCTCTTTAACTATTTCTTAAGGTTAAAATGAAACCATCCTAATTCTACTCTGACGTAGCCACACGACATTCAAAGCGAAGCATGTATATTTCGTAAAATACATCCATTGCCGGGTTATATTCAATAATTTTTGTAAGAGAATCTCCTTATATCAATTAACCATTAACACTGGACCAGTGGGTAGCCCCTTGGGAATTCCGTGTTAAAATAGGTCCCCAGCAACTTATGCTTATCGAATGGTTGGTTGTGTGCCGGGCTTGTGTGTCATCCGCAACATAGCCACAAAATTGAAAAAAATAGAGAAATTGGTTCTGCCCGATATCTTAGTTTCAGATAAACAATGCTTAACGAGTCAAAATGCTCAAGAAATTAATATCTACTTATGCGTCAAACCGGCTTTAGACGGATGATTCATTTTACAAATATCCAGCAATAAATGGGCCCTGAGTATTTCTTTGGCTGAGCTGTTGAAGTCTACTATAAAACGCCAACGTCACAGATAACCAGTCTCGATTATCCGCCGAAACAGATTCCATTGGGCGGAAAAGGCAAATTAGCGGTGAAGTCAGTCGATATGATGGACAGGTGTTCATCTTGTTGTCCCTATTTGACAACATGTTAGCGCGATTCTTATATTACTAATGTAGTTAATGGAATAAAAGTGTCCATGCGCATCGGTAATATTGTATCATTTTGACCTGTAGATCAGTTGCTGCGCAAATGGCATTAGACTCACCAGTTATAGCAACAAGAGATCCAAGGATGCTGTTAATCAGATAACCCACATCAAACTGACGCTTCTTCACAATGTAGCTGAAACACAAACAGTGATGTGCTAAACAATCGTAGGTGACATATAAGTATGTGATCGATGTCTATTTTCGCATTTGAAAATAAATATTTTGCATCTGTACTTAATCATAAATCATCAATCAATCAATCCACCATCCACACACACGAACACAAACACGCACGCACGCACGATTCACACAGTTAACATTTGAGGCGATGTATCTGTGAATAATCACTCGCGTAAAACTTAGCATTGAATAAGTTTGGGAAGTACGTCAGGATTGTTCTTATGTTTCGTTTGTTTGTTTCTTTGTTTGTTGCTTATACGTCGCACTCAGTAATATTCCAGCTGTATTACGGTGGTGTGTAAATAATCAAGTCTGCATCAGACAATTCAGTGATTGATATCATGAGCATCGATCCTTGCAATTGGGCTACGATGACTTGTATCAACCAGGTCAGTGGCCTGACCACCCGATTCCGCCACTTACGACAAGCATAGTCGCCTTTTACGGCATGGGTTGCTGAAGACCTATTCTACCCCGGATCTTCCGGGTGTCTTATGTTTGTTAATAATAGGATTTGCACTGTAGACGTGTTCAATGAGAATGACTTCTGTAGACATCATTGTGTCTCTTAAAACATGCCCCCTTTTGTCTTTGACCAGGCTGGATTGACATTTAAACAACATTTGCCAATAACGGAACTATGTGCTGATGATAGAACAATTTCACGAAATACGTGTGTTGCCAGCGGGATTTGAACCCGCGAAGTACGCATCGAGGGCTAAGGAATCTAGTCTTCTGCAACGGCGACATGGACGAAATCTCATGAAATTATCAACTGAAATAAATATATATTAAGTTATAAAGCATGACAGTTGACCAAAGCTTATTGAAGTAACCTCTTTTACAATAAATGAAGCATGCTTTGATAACTTATAACATTCAGTGAAATGAAATTATCAAATTAATCGTTGAAATGGTTACTTAGAGTCCTCCGCGTCCGCGTCAGACTCCATCTGATCATTTTAACTATTAGAAACTTGAAGTTACCCATGCCAGGTGAACAAGACGAACATCTTCAGCCGCATTTCATTAGTGGAGTTAAAGCATTATTGTCACCTGATCTTCTGGCTTCACACGGACCCGTTAGAACACAAGTAATTATTTTCTAAAACTGACTTAATTTGATATTGACCATGGGATTACTTACACTTGATCCCAGATTACAATCCGTTCCAAAATACCTCACGAGGGTCAGATGACAACCAATTATTGGGACCTGATCAACCAGCCAGCAATACGAAAGGCGATTTCCAGTGGCGCTTGTAAAATTGCCATTCCGTAAAAGACGATGTGGAATGAAAAGGGACTTTGGTTGATGCATGTCATCGATCCCAATTGCGTGGATCGATGCTCATGATGTTAATCACTGGATTGTCTGGTCCAGACTCCATTATTTACAGACCGCCGTCATATAGCTGGAATATTTCTGAGTGCGGCGCTAAACAACAAACCAACTAACCAACCAACATGCGTGAAACCGGTTGAGTAAATTATACAGCTCATCTTTGGACTTTTGTATTTTATATATATGAAAAAGATGTCGTTCATATTTCAATAGATAATCACACAAGTTAATGTGAAATTATATAAGATATAAGAACGGTTGAAATCACTCACCTGTCGCTGGTATACGTACACGCATTATGTTCATCTGATTTTGTCACGTGCAGCGGCACGAAACTTCTAGATATGCTGTACTTTTGAGCATATTTCGAAATACGAAGGTCAACGACCACAAAGTGTAGTGATGCATACTCTTCAGAATTTAACATTATTACATTTTGCAGTGGTAATTAGTATTATAGTGAGTGAGTGAGTGAGTGCAATATTCCAGCAATATCACGGCGGGGGACACCAAAAGTGGGCTTCACACATTGTACCCATGTCGGGATTCAAACCCGGGTCTTCGGCGTGACGAGCGAACGCTTTAATCACTAGGCTACCCGACCGCCCCAATTGGTATAATTATACGTACCTCTCATCATAATGGTCATAGTCGAAAAGGTGAAAAAAATTCTCATGACTAATATACACTCATCTATATGTTTCGAAATTTGTCAGTACACTACAACTTACCTGTAATGAATTACTTCATTTATAACTTGCAGTGGTTCAGTTTACGATTGTGGATTCATATCATCCACCCCATGCCCATATTTATTTCACATGACATATCACAATATTTGAATGGATGTGTATCAGCAATTACCTTTGAACAAAGCAGAGCCGCGCCTTAAAGATCATAATCCTATTCGTCACACTAATCTCAAAGAGTTTTGATATGATCTAAACCTAATACAAAGTACCATACGTACTCAAGCCTACGTTTACGAGTTGTGTGCATTACACTTTTTGTATGGGGACATACGAGTAGTCTTTCAGAAGGTATCAAATGTAACAACGTGCAACAGTTCCATGCATTATTCTGTACAGAAATAATAGCTAGGGCACATGCAAGTGAAACATGCGCATCGTGGGAGTCCACGTCACAGGTTTGCTATTCGATTACACTCGATGACTAAGCAATCAAATGGGACAGATGTCATGATGCATACAACAATATGAAGATCGTTTCTGTGATCTTGAAGTTGTCTGGTTATCTTGAGAGCATCATGCCGACCTGAACGCATGCAACCCTTGATTTGTTTGAAGATTATTGGCTTTAACAAATAAGCCATCTGGAGTAAATCAATTATACTAAAGGACCTCTTAATTGAATACCAAGACCATATATTTTGTCCTTAATCAATCAATATGATTAGGGAAAGCATAATTAATCGACTTGATTGCAGACTTTGATTATGATCTCAACGACGAACCTCAAACAACCACATTAAGGTCCTATCAGTGTTAAAAGCTTCAGCACCACTCCTTATTCATGATTAGAAGTGTGATAGTGATAAGACTGTTTCAAGCATGATAATATTACAAATACCTCAGGAGGAGTCCAACAATCCCTCCAGATGTCGATGCACATATAGTCGAAACAGCCGATCTGTAATATGAAACATCAATAAATTTGACATCGGCATAGAAAACACAATACTCACATTAGCCATACCGTACGCACTGAGCATCCGCATGCAGTACATGTATTGTTTTTATTGCAGAGAAATATTAATCGCAAAAAGGTTTCCTTTACGATTTAATTTTCTTCATGAAAACTTTTATTTGTTAAATTCAGGATATCTTTAAGTGAATTAACACATTGTATTTATACACATAACAAAACGTTAAAGTGAAATGTATCGATGGTTGTGTATCACAATTATCACTGTTCTTGTGACTTTAGAATATAGGTAATAAAATATGCCGTGTACCCATTTATATGTTTATTTATAGGATGGTTTTCGAAGACAATTATCCTACTTACAACTCTAGAGCAGGTAATATTGAACTATCATATTAAGGCCTTAATTGATTCTATTTTCTTTCGATTTACTTTTTACGCTCTATCTGTTGATCCTTAGCAGAGTGCTCACTTTGGCCAAGTTCCAAGCAAGGAACCGATATCAAAAGACGCGGAGATTCCTAGGAACCAATAACAAGGCTGTTGTGCTACAACTACATGTATATTCTGGACTTCTCATTTGAATCAGGAGATAAACGTGGTGTTTTCATATTTGCGGGATGTATTGAGTATTTGATTCTAAAGCTTTCGATCATACATGATTGTGTAAACTACTAAAGATATCAGCCATTTTCAAAAACAACTCTGTCGATTTAAATTCTCACAGTTGTGAGACAGACATGACGTCGCCCTGGGATGTTATGACGTCACTATACAATGAAGGATATCACATATGCGTTATGACTTAACGCGCCTGGTCAGCAAAATATGCACAGACAAAATAAAAGTGTCGAAGTTCTTCTGATATACATTGATTTAAATTAATATTTAATTGACGTGGTATCCACGAAGCCGAATAGCACGTTATTTTTAAATTAGTGAATCCAGGCTTCGAATCCCATTGAATTACGTTTTTCAACCAATAAGACTGCAGCACACATTCCCATTAGTTTTACAATAAGTGTTTACCAGTACGTAATGAATTGGACGTTGTGGAAGCTGTTACTATTCCATGCTTGGTTCTGAACCTACTTCTGATCCTGACTATATATCAGATGGAAGGCCAAAGCCTTGCAATTGAGAGACATTTCTTCTATCACCAAGTAGGGTTGGGACAACAACTTGGATTTATCAATAATAATTACAACACTCTTAAGGAAAGTGTATGGCTTTGTATCCTGCACATCGTGCCATTGTCGTTTCTGAAGTCTAATCTGCTAATAGAGGTTTTGCTGGGAAGGTGAGACTGTCAAAATCTGTGGTTGCATCAGATTCCAATAATGTAATGTCATGATGACATTTTCGAACTCGCTAAACTCTGTGTACAAAGATTTATCCGACAATAATTAGCGTTCTCATAACAAGTGTTTCCAAACAGCGACCGATCTTCTATAGATCTACCTCGAACGCCACGGGCTAGATGTCTATTCTATGATGACACAAGCTAGACAGAACGTCAATGGCAGCGACAATCTAAATATGCTCTGGGGACCGCCACTCTCTAATTATTTATTTTTAGTTCAATGCGTTAGATTTGAGCACTCAACTCAAACACATCATTGGATCCTGTTATACTTTAGAGTTGCTCCACAAGTGAACTGAATTGTCATCATTTAGGAAATGTATATATTAACGATGTTTAAGCAATTATATACATGTGGTACAGTACCTGGCTGTCAAACTCCACTTCAACAAAAGGTATTTCCTTTCAACAATTTTAGAGCAGATGGTATGGAACTACAAACACTATTATGGTAAGGCCACAATAAATTGATTCTACTTTGGGGAAAATGCTTTATACTTTCTGCGTTCTACGTTCTAGGTATAATGTACAGTACCTGGCTGCCAACTTCCACTTCAACTAATGGTATTTCCATTCAACAATTTTAGAGCAGATAGTATGGAACTACAAACAATATTATGGTAAGGCCACAATAAATTGATTCTATTTTGCGGGGAATTGCTTAATACTTTCTGCGTTCTACGTTCTAGGTATAATGTACAGTACCTGGCTGCCAACTTCCACTTCAACCCGGATATTCCAAAAGTGCTTCCACAATTAAATCCAAGCCAACCCCACCTTAAACACCAAAGTTCGCACACTGTTAGCATGTAGTTCTGATCTCATGCAAATACACACACACACACACACACACACAAATATACATACATACATACATACATACATACATACATACATACATACATACATACATACATACATACATGCATACATACATATATTCTACATGTAAGTTGTTGTTTCTAACATCTACTGGTTTGTTTAATTTCCACTGTGAGTTCTTCAACCCTTTAAATATATTCAGTTACATATTTTGAAATATATTTAAATCGATCGTATTTATAGAGAGCTTACCACAGCATAAACATGCCAAGCATTGCATTTGTAGGCGATCCCATTTGAGGTGCTTTCTTACTCTTGAAGCGATTGTGACGAGGCTTCAAAAGAAGAGTGGACACCAAGCCAGTGACCCCTCCAACTAAATGCACTGGTCCTGCTCCAGCGATGTCAATCACACCCATAGTCTGTAACCATCCTTGTTTACCCCAGAACCAGTGGGCAGGGAAACAGTATACGAATGTATTCAGTAAGGAAAATATGATGTACGCCTCAAGCTTTGTCCTCTCCGCCATAGCGCCTGGGATGATAATCAAGCGTTAGATATTCACTACCAAGTAATATATAGGTTATATTTGGGATTACACTGTCTTTGTAAAGTACAGATTCTCGTATATTTTGGGTTGATTAGGTGCCTCACTCTGAGAGTATATTAATTTCAAGTCCCGGATAGGGCTCAACACAAAATGTACTAAAATATGTACTTTACAGAGAAAGTGTACTCCCACATATAGCATATGTTACGTTTGACCACTTTCTCAATGGCATCGTGTATTCATACCTAAAACCAATATAGTTTATAAACCGCCGTCATACAGCTTGGATATTGCTGAGAGCGGCGTTAAACAACAAACAAACAAACAATATAGTTTATCAAATACCAACTTCAATAACTGAATAGCACACCTGCTTTTATAACATGCGTCTTTATACTTTGTGCAAACCATGGTTTGCCGAATGAATAATGTGTCGGAGTATGTGTTGCGGGTTTACAAATTATGAGAATTGTATGACGTTAGAGAGGCCAGTACTTTATTTTTGTCGGACAATCATATACAAGCATATTTAAATACAGTACACATATTGTACATACAACGAAAGTACAACTAGGTGTCCGGGATAACCAAATCGTCTCCTTCGTGAGTCGACTGTATACTGAATGGGTTTGGCAGATATTTTCCAGCCAGTACCATCAAAAAGTGTATCTTACAGTTATATATATGTAAAAGTAATTACTTTTATGGCTCACGTCTGTGGTATCTTTTTTATGGAAGATCTTACTGTGGCATGACCACAAACATAATGAACAATAAAAAGATTTTACTTTTACATCTTGTGTAACCCCAATATTCCAACTGACACCAGGAACAGTAAAGGGTCAAACTCAGAGATTCAGTTACCACGGGATAAGCACGAGAAGACAACGAACATGGAAGGAATGGCGTATACAAATAGACATCGGGTATGGCTATGGGATTGTACGTTTCCGTCACATATGGGGGCGGTCGGGTAGCCTTGTGGTTAATGTGTTCGCTCGTCACACCGAATACCCGGGGTCGATTTCCGACATGGGTACAATGTGAGAAGCCCATTTCTGGTGTACCCCACCGTGATATTGCTGGAATATTGCTAAAAGCGGCGTAAAACCATACTCACTCACTCACTCACTCACTCACTCACTCCATCACATATGAGATAATCGTTTTGAATGAGTGAATGGGTTGAGTTATAAGCCGATTTTAGCAATATTCCAACACAATCAGGACGGACTTCACACATTGTACCCATATTGGGAATAGAACCCGGGCCTTCAGATGACGAGCGACCGCTTTCAGCAACATGGTTTTTCACCGCTCCAATCTATGTGTACATTTATCTTCATACACATACATGTACATTATAGTGAACATTATAGTGTTACATTGTTGTATACACGGCGAGTTAATAGCACATGCATGTGTAGAAATGCGTTACCTGAAACGATCGTTGTAGCTGTCGTTGCAAATGACGCCTGAAAAAAGAACTTTGAATACACGTATCCCAAACTTTCCTCGTCCGCCGTCACAAAAAAGTCCCCCCAGCCGTTGAAAGGGTTAGTGTAGCGTTCATCTTCACCAAAACTCAGTCCATATCCGAACATCCAATATGTCAGTCCTCCACAGATAACATCCACGGCGTTCTTCACCATGATGTTCACTTCATTCTTACTGGAGACGGAGCCACTTTCCAACAGACCAAACCCTGTAATAAACAGACGTTTTTGTACATACATTGTCGTGTATATATCAGTACAAAGAATTAAAGGTGGCAAACGGATGTATGTTTAAATGTTGTGACGCAGGACAGTGTACACATAGGAAATTCTGTTAATTTGAAGAAGTCTTTCAGACATTGATATCACAGACACACAGCTTAAAAAAAAGCTTCGGCGTGTGTGCGTGCGCGTGTGTTTGTGTGTGTGTGCGTGTGCATGTGCTTGTACTTGTCCGGACTGATGTCGGTTTTATAGTCCTTGCCCACTGAGATACGTACCATGCCGCATGAATGGCTAATGTAAACTGAACTACTGCAAGTTAGGAATGTAATGATTCAAGTAAGCTGTGGTGGAGTGACTAATTTAATGTCGTACCATATAGATGACTGTATATTAGTCATGAGAAATATTTCTCTTCCTTTCGGCTATGACCAAATAAACAGTGTGTGTGTGTGTGTGTGTGTGTGTGTGTGTGTGTGTGTGTGTGTGTGTGTGTGTGTGTGTGTGTGTGTGTGTGTGTGTGTGTGTGTGTGTGTGTGTGTGTGCGCGTGCGTGTATGTGTGTGCGTGCGTGCGCGCGCGCTTGTATGAGTCCGTTACAACTACTAGACTTATGCCGGGCTACAGTGCCCACTGGGATACCATGCCGCAGTTTCACATTGATACCCTACTCTGACAAAGACTCTCCGAGCCGACCAGTGGTTATTTTATTCCCTTAATGCCAAGCCCCAGGTATGGTAACAACAAGAACCATCTATATATCCTGCGGTATGACGTGGCCGAGAGAGAGAGAGCATCTGATCGATCTTCTACTCTCCGGGAAGACGCCCTATCTACTAGACTAAGGAGGCGCTGTTCTACAATAAAGCACATTGAGAAGTGTACCGGCCGCAACAAATAAAAGCATAACACTGGATACGTACACCACAGAAATGGCCAATGATTTGAACTTTTCTCCTATTTCACGTTGACTAGAGCTATTATATTCGAAAATATGACTTAGAATACAACAATCGGATCCCTACAAAAACTGATTAAATAAAACATGTGACAATGAACGCACATTTTTATCCCTTTTCATTATACATCATCATTGATGTAATGGCATTTTTTCGAACGATCTGGAAATCGCCTCTCATATTTCTGGCTGGTTGATTACGTCTCAATATTCAATAATTGGTCGTCACAAGACCCTCATGGGATATCATTGAAATATAATCATACATCTTATTAGTGTGTAGATGAGTTTTTCAGGCATTGACATCAGCAGACATATAGTTATGTAAGGACAGTGGTTCCACTTCGTATGGATATTAGCTGCAGTGCTATCCATATTGTTTATGTTTATTTGGGTGAATATAATTATACGTCCCAAAGAGCAATATTCACGTAAAATGACGATGGTACAGACGATATAACATGTCGACAAATGTTCGAATTTCTAGAGATATGACACAGGTTTTGCAGACCGTTATTTCTACCATAGAGACGAGCGACAAACGTCATCTGATATCCCCTGGACTGGTAATGGTTTTTTTACTAAGTTGCTACTCTAATACTCTGTAGATATCCGCAGCACGAAGTGGATACAGGAAATAGGTTACTTTAGTACCGCATCTTAGCCGGAATTGTTTATGTCATGCATGACCGTGTGCCAGGAGAACGTCAACGAGTTCCACCGGTAATGTTATCGAATGAGATATCACCAACAACTGCTGGTGCGAACCTATGGTAACAGCTGTATACAAATACAGCAATGGTATATATATATCTATTTAATTATTATGGAAAAGGTCGTGCTGCTTCCACATATTTTATCATATCAGCTGCTATTTTAGCTGGAGATTTTGTAAATTATACACGAATGTCTTTTGTTATCTTTCAGAGTGTCAAAGATATCAGTCCCATTTGAAGATGTTCTTCAACTGTATATGCAAAAAATATCACATCCTCCATTATTTTCAAATTACGTGAGAGCACAGATGGCATATTTGTCTTATGCGCCGCATTTAGCTTTGAAGAGTTGCGTTTCTTAGGGGAACCAGAAACACACGTTGGTGGATTCGAATTTCAAATACGCTGTGATGATGTTTCTTGGTTTGTCAGCACCATACCCGTACTTGTTGGTTTTACCAAAGTGGTAGACGTCGAACACCATGGCCAGCATCAATGTTGGCTTACCTCCCACATCAAGCTGACGTGCCGTGGTGGTGCTGGCGTACTGCTGAAAGCACCGTTAATCCCAACTCACTCACTTATCAATGAACCATGTTAGTCTAACTCGTTCAAGCGGCAGTGGTGATGATTTACAAAGTGCGTTACAAAGTACAACGCATTACATATAGCATATCGATCACAGCTAGTGACTCAAATGCGTAAAATACATTATTTCCTGTTATTAGAAATACTGAGCAATATCAACAATACTTCCAAAATATAGAGTATCCATGTTGTGAATTGTGTTAGTATTATCAGGCTACTGAATATAAATACATGTGAGAATATAAGATGCACTGATACATTTAACCACCCCCGCTCCCATCTCCACCCACTATCGAGTGCTTATTGAGGTGAACTTGAATGTTGATTTGAATTAATTGTGCTCAGCTATGTAAGCCGAACTTGACATTTCTAACTTAACGAAAACTCAGTACGGTAAATCACTTAACTCTATGACATGCTAACAGCTACTCCTCTACCTTCTTGAGGTATACTGAAAGCTTAGACCAGGAACTGGAGCAGCCATTGTGATTTATAGTCAAGGCTTTCTGGTGATAGAACTTCTTAAAGCAGGAAATGCATAGATCAATTGTTAGTTTATTTGGATTAAACTTAAAATTTTATGATGAAATTAGACCGGTTCTTTTACTTGAACATTGCATTTAATATGTTATATCAAGGTCTGTCTATTGAACACAAAGGAACTTCAAACCATTACGTTTGAGCTTTGCATTAATAAAAAGAACTGTTTGAGATATTTTTAGAAGCAAATATTTTCAGTTGTCCATGATAACACCAAACTAATTAAATACGTTGGTATATCCTACTTATTCATTATGTGAATCGTGATTAAATATTAAAAGTACATGTAATATTACAGAGTTTACTTTCTTGTCTGTGGAAAAATACACATAACCTGATGTTTATTAACGACTAATTGGAGTGTGTGTTGTATATCCCATCGCTTTTCTTTGTCCCGTGAATATCAATACTTGGAACAGATAATTAGCTCTTAGAAGCCTTTCAGGACTAGATAAAGACCTTATCTGTATACTTGCAATTGGGCATTTCCTGTAGTCAAAGGCAAAATCATAGACCAACAATGCCAAAAATAGTGAAATCAATTTCTTCTCAGTAAGATAAGAACAAAATTACTTGGTACAATCAACCACTCTTGAACCGGTAAATTCGAAGTAAGTGAATCATGCCAATGCATATATGTGATACGTTTGGCTAGTAGAAAAAAAAATATAAAGGGTTTCAAAGGAAATGTATTTTACGGGATCAATTATACTGGCTATCAATTCTACACTTTATTCGTATTTCGCATGAATGTGTTTCGGTTGCGTATTTCATTGTTGAACTTTTTTCTCTCAAAACTGGGTTTTACATCTGTCGCTAATCACTAATCACTAATCACTAATTTCAGTTCGTTATAACCGTAGTTCGTAATAAACATATATACAACAAATAGCTGGGACCAAAAAATAAATTCGTTATATCCGCCTGTTTGTTATAAGCGTGTTCGTTATAAACGTAGTTTACTGTATAGCCAAGGATAAGCATTATAAGAGAATTGAAGACCATGATCAAAACTCAAATCAAAGGCAAAATATGAACGTTATTTGAGCCCCACTACAATTTACATCGATATTCAAAAACATACTTTTGGGCCAAATTTGGATTCATCACACGTTAAAACTACATGTAGCATTCCTAGGTTTAGCTTAACTGGCCCACTGATTTCTTGAGAAGATGTAGTTTAAAGACGACACACACGACATCGGTATGTTTTGACAAAAGCCCCGAAGGTCCCAAAGAAAGACACGTCATGTTACATTGTGAAACAGTTCATACCCCCCACGGATGTTTGACCGTATAAATCACGAACCTTGAAAGAAAACATATGTTCGATAACGGGTTTCAATTTTGGAGGAAAAGGACGTGACCGACAAGGTTATTTTCTTCTACAACTTGTCTCAGCTTGAATTGATCCGAGGAACTGCATTTCTAATTATCTTCACATCAATCCATATTCATTTATTAACAGTATTCATGGTTCAGTGTATACAAAGTCAGACGAAATAAATAATAATCCATCCTAGTTATATCCGACGATGTGGAGTCAAATACGTTATCTTCCGGAAGGCAGTTCCCACTGGATCCAATATGTACGGTGAGATAGACAGGGCTTTACCATAACTGACAATAACAATCAGTGCGTATATGGGCTTGGTTGATACTGGATTTCTCGAAAGTCGGAATAAGAGTCATAGTTCGTACTAATGGCAGTGCCACAAAATACTTTCAAAGCATGATACTTCTTGTTTATGCATAAGCATACTGTTTAAAATCATGTCTTATCTGTTTGCAACAGACGCATTCGTTTGACAAATTGCCTTTGAGAAACAGTCAATTCAATGCAAGACGATTCAGATTACCCATTACGATTAATAACCACTTACAGATCAATACACATTACGTGCAATAGGGTGCTTTGACCACTGCACTTTACCTGAGTGTCGAACATATTTCTTAAACGTTTTTTTACTTATAAGCAGCAACATCTCTGCACTTGTAGACATCAGGTATAATTCGAAATTAAGATATCGTTTTTATAATTACTTTAATCAAAATCACTAAATACGCTTTCGCGTAACTGGATTTTTTGCTACATCACTTGATTGTCTGGTCAAGATTCGATTGTTTACAGGCCGCTGTCGTATGGTAGGAGTACTGCCGTGCGGCGACAGGCAACAAACAAACAC